CAGAAATTAGTTACTAGTTATTGGTTATTAGTTATCAGGATGAGAAGCCAAGTTTCCTATTTCCCACTACAAAGTACCCTACTTGGTATTCTGTACTGTGTTTTTCTTAAAGACATAAAATTATTTTCTACATATTTTAACGTTTAAGAGGATTTCATAAACTTGTCCCTTTTGAACTCTTCATTTGTCTTCACATCTATAGAACCATAATCACAGAGTGTACTTCTCTGTTGTCACACGCTGTTTTTAAAATTATCAATAGGAAATATATAACAAGTAGCTCAAAAATAAAGCAATAACGCTTAAAAAAAAAAAAAAAAGAAGAAGAAGAACAGAAAAAGCGTAAGTCCCTCCCAACTTCCCCCTGAGCCACAGAGCAGGTGGTCCCTAGCTAGATTAGGAATGGTCAGGAACAAAGGTGAATAAAGAAACAATCTTTAGCCCTGGCTGGTGTGGCTGAATGGACTGAGTGTTGGCCTGCGAACGGCCACTGGTTCGATTCCTGGTCAGAGCACATGCCTGGCTTGCAGGCCGGCCCTCAGTTGGGGGCGTGCAAGAGGCAACCAGTCAATGTTTCTCTCCCTCTTTTTCTCCCTCCCTCCCCTCTCTCTAAAAATGAATAAAACCTTTACTTTAAAAGAAAAAAAAAAAGAAAAGACCTTTAGACTGAATGGGACTTTCCTGTAGTGAGACACATTTGCCACATTTCCTATCTCTTCTATTTCACAGTCAATGCTCACTAAAATAAATTAGCTCCTCTACAGGCAAAGTTTCTTGCATTCCTGAATGCCACCGCAGTTCCCCTCAGACTTTTGTTGTTTGAAAGCAGAAAAATGAAGCACTTCATTTTCTGGTTTTCTTTTAGGAGCCATTTTCTCTCATAATTTTTAACGTTTGCAAGATTATTTCTTGACACGCTACAGCAGAGCCACTTTGCGCTAAGATGCAAATGCTGGGTTGATGTATCACTCATATAACTAGGTGTCTCAGTGCTATATAACTCTCTCATAATGGGCCCATTTAAATCATTGTCTCTGCCAAATCACAAGTTACTGTACTACAGACATGGACCTCCAGGAGAACCAGCAATTAAAAATCAAAACCAAGCACACAACAGTTACTAAGGTGTTGAATTATAATCTTGTATACCTGAAAATTATGTAATGTTATTAACCAATGTTACCCAAAGAAAGTTAACTTTAAAAAAACAATTATATTTGAATAAAACATGGACATTAGTTAATGATGTTACAATACTGATTCATTAATTGTACAAAATGGGTAATATGAGACATTAATACAGAGGAAACTGAATGTTATGGGAATATATGGGAATTCCATGTACTGGCTTCGTAAATTTTAATCTCACAACCCAGACATGTGCCCTGACCAGGAATCGAACCAGCGACCATTCACAGGCCAACACTCAGTCCACCAAGCCACACCAGCCAGGGCTGAAGATTGTTTCTTTATTCACCTTTGTTCCTGACCATTCCTAATCTAGGGACCACCTACTCTGTGGCTTGGGGGAAGTTGGGAGGGACGTACGCTGTTTCACCCACCACTAATTTTTCTGTAAATTAGAACTCTTCAAAAATAAAAAAGTTTTTTAATGTATTAAAAAAACAAACTACAAACATGATCTTTTAATATCTATAAGTCTGAGGTGGACAACTTTTCTCAAAAATGCCCTTAAGTTATAAGCAAATGTGAGTTTTGTGTGACTGTCTTATGATATCCCTTATGTAAGCAAAGACTAAGTCAATAAAACCAATTCTATGGGGGCCAACCTTCAACTACCAATTACTACTGATCTAGAACTTGACCTAAAGATAAAACTAGAAATGAACAGTCTGCATGTCCTTCAAATACTCATTCATAAATCTCTCAACTGGGCTTTTGATAAAAGCTGGGTGGCAGGTTCAAGACTGTCTTCTGGAGTAAAAGGAGAAAATCCATCTGAAGTCCCATAGCGTTTGCTGACAGTTCAATTCAATGTCATAAGCATCAACTAGGTATCAATCATCTTCCTAAAAATTGGTCTCTAACATGCAGAAGCTTAATCTAGATAGGGTATACATAAAGTCTGGGGAAAAAAATTTTTATGGATTAAAGGTGACCTTAATCTATATGACTGTAGTTATTTGCCCATGTTTTCATATATTATGCACAGACTGTATTATTAGTTCTATAAATCAAGGTTTTTTTGCAGGGGTGGGGGTTATGGTTAATATAAAAATAAACTCATTATAACCTATTTTTTAGCAATCTAACTTACAAAAAATGCACATAAGTTAGGTAGTACTACGTAAGACTCTCGCTAGTATTTTCCTTCTGTAAAAAACAATGACAAAAAAGTAAAAATTTCAAAAATGAGTAACTGACATAGATAAAACTGCACAAAACTATGTACACACAAGGGCATGTAATACCTGGTAAAATCTGAGTCTTGTCTATAGAGTGTACCAATAACTTCCTGCTTTTGCTATTGTACTATAGTTATGTAAAATGCCACCTTTGGAGGGAAGCTGGGTGACAGTCACAGGGACCTCTCTGGACTATTTTTGCAACTTCGTGTGGGTCTGCAATTATTTCAAAATTAACAGCTTTTTAAATATGTGTACACACACACACACATACACACACACACACACACACACACACACACACAATTAGTTCATTGAAGGCGGTTCTTTAAACTTAATCAAAGTTGTCTAGAAACTGGCTTTAAACTGACCTGGTCTTCTAAAGCAAAAACTACAAAAGAAGACTCAGAAATGTAAAATAGATTAGAAATCTGAACTTGAGGTAAAGTCTTTCTCCTTTCCTTTCAGTTAATTAGGGCTTTGTTTTTAGTAATCAGATATAATTATCTACCTATATCCAAGTCAGAGAATCTCTATCCTCTGGGATCACATGGAAAAATGTACACAAAACCAAGAAACAGGAGCCAATTACACACATATTTATAATAAACATTTCTGGCTAGCTTCCCAATTTCCCAAGGACAGAGCAAAAAGCTCAGCTCTCAGAATCTCAGGGTTAGGAGGATTCGAAGTTTCCTATTTTAAAACTGATGATTCACAAAGTTAATTCCTCATACACATGCAGTACAGTGGTGGTATAACCTGTCCCATCAGAGAACCTTGGGTTCCAGACTCTTGTGCTCCTCTGTAGCCTTGCTCAGCTTACTGAACTTCTAGGAAATCTTCTGTCCCTATGTTACAGATGTGGGTAAAAGCACTACTAACTCAAAGGCTTGTTGTGAAAATATAAATATATAATACAGTCTATCAGAATCCAGTGCTTTATAGGTATACCCAAATGGTTTGTTATTTGATATACCAAGTACAACCAGTTATTACATTTTCAACTCTCATACTGGACCAAAAGGTCTAATTTGCCTGCCTACGCCACCAACACATTTCCACAAAGCTGAATGTTACATAACAAGAAAAACTTGTTTTTCTCCAATTATAGTAATATAATTTCTTCTGTAACACACTTCCTTGCAGTGCTGCATATACAATCTTAACATTTGGATATGAAAATGTCCATGTTTGTCTGATTTTTTCTCCCTATCACCAGTTGTTTTTTTTATGAATTTGCCAAAAAATTTCTTTTTAAGATTTAATTTATTTTTAGAGAGAAGGTAAGGCAGGGAGAGAAACATCAGCGTGTGGCTGCCTCTTGAGTGCTCCTTTCTGGGTACCTGGCCCACAACCCAGGCATGCACCATTTGATTTTGCAGGCCAGCGCTCAGTCCACTGAGTCACACCATCTGGGGCCAAATTTTATTTTTGGTTAACGATAATTCTGTTCTCAGCATACATTCTTTAAAAAGTCCGTATTATTTTACTATACACATTTAATGACTGCATGAGACTATGAACACAAAATATTCTAATTAACAGAAACACGTTCTGCATAAAATTTTAGCAAATTCAGACTATTTAGATCAACTTTAGGTATGGGCAAACACTAAAGAAATATTCAATTTGCCACCTTTCAAAGGCAGGAACTTCACCCTTACTGAGGGGACCTATTAAAGAAAAAAAGAATTCTATTAAATATCTTTAGCCCTGGCTGGTAGGGCTCAGTGGATTGACTGCTGGCCTGAGAACTATAAGGGTCACTGGTTAGATTCCCCACATGGGCATATGCCTGGGTTACAGGCCAGGTGATACAAAAGGCAACCAATCAGTATTTCTCACTCACATCGATGTTTCTCTTTTTCCTTCCCTTCCTCTCTCTATAAAATGTTTTTAAAATTTTTTTAGAAGGTCTTTAAAACAAATGAAGACTCAAATTATTTGAGGTTATTAAATTTCAGTTTTTACACTTTATCTTTTCAAGTTAGGTCTACTTTTGTAACTATTATCCTGAGATACTGGTCTACAGTTTTCTTGTGAAGTGTTTGCCTGGCTTTGGTATCAGGGTAATGCTGGCCTCATAGAGTGAGTTGGGAAGTGTTCTCCCCTTTTCTATTTTGGGAAAAAATTTGTGTAGAATTGGTGTTTTCTTTCCTAAGTAGTTGGTAGAATTACCAGTGAAGCCATTTGGTACTGGGCTTTTCTTTGTGGGACTTTGTTTCTCAAAATAAATTAGGGACTTTCAACTCTTAATTCCTTTAACCCAGAAGAAATTAAAGAGAGGATCACAAATCCCAGGTAAGGGATTTCTTTGTCCCTAAATCAGATTGAGTAAGTTCTTTTCTATTCCTGATTTGCTGAGTGTCTCTATCATGAAAGGGTACTGAATTTTGTCAAATTCTGTCTACTGAGATGATCATGTGGTTTTTGTCCTTTATTAATGTGGTATATAACATTTATTACTGTATGTTGAACCAACCTTGCATTCACAGGAAAAATCCCCATTTGTCCTGATGAATAAATCCTTTTTATACATTGCTGGATTCTATTTGCTAGTACTGAGTATTTTTGCATGTTTTCAGAAGAGATTCTAGTCTGTGGTTTCCATTTCTTGTACATTTTCCTTAAAAAAATATGGAACACTTCACATATTTGTGTCATTCTTGTACAGGGACCTGCTACTGTTCTCTGTGTCACTCTGATTTTAGTATATATGGTGCTGAAGCGAGCACTCTTATATACTGTTTGTCTGGTTTTGGTCACAGGGTTTCATAAAATGAAAAATGGTCTCTCCTCTTCTATTTGTTTGGAAGAGTTTGTTAAGAATTGGTGTTAATTATCCCATTAAGTATTTAGTAGAATTTACCAGTGAAGCTATTTGGTTCTAAGGCTTTCTTTATGGACTTAGTCTCTTAAAAGCAATTAGTAAAGTCCAACTCTAATTCCTTTAATTTATGAGAACTTTGAAAGAGAAACAGAAGAAATGACCTAGCTAATGTTATTGGTTGTTTTTAAAAAGGTGATTTTTAAAGATTTTTTTTTTTGGTGGGGGGAAGAGGGAGAAAGAAAAACATTGATCGGTTGCATCTTGAATATGTGCACGCCCTCACCGGGGAACCCACAATCTAGGCATGTGCTCTGACCAGGAACTGAACCAGCGACCTTTTGCTTTGTGGGACGACGCCTAACCAAGGCACACCAGTCAGGGCTTAAAAAAGGTGATTTTTAAAAAGGCAATGTGTAATAAAAGCTGAAGCAGTCTTTCATGTAGCCTATTTATTCATCTTTCAATTTAAATTTTAAGTCTTACTAGGTTTAGATATGTTAGATTGTCTCATTTAATCCTCACAAGAACTCCAGGATGTTCTATCATTCCCATTTGACACAGCATGAATTTAAGAGAAGTTATACAAACTGTCCAAGGTCACAGTTAGACACATACAGTAGTGTTTATGAGCAGGAACTCAGAAGTCATAATCCCTCATCAACTACTTAATAACTTGGCATATTGGGTGAATTATTCAGGTCAGGGCCTCAGATTCACCTATAAAATGAGAATAACACTACTTTCTAGGGTTGTTGTAGAAACACCTGTAAACTTCTTAAAACGATGTCTGGCTTACAGTATGTGCTCAACATCAGCAGTGAGTCCTATTACTAGTTGTTGCCCAGTGCCACCTGTTCAAGTTTTAGTGGTTTTAAAACTCCTGAGTTTTAAAGCAAGTAAGAAAGTCTCGGATTGGAAAGGAAGCAGTCACAGATAAACCATTTTACTTTCTTGTGTACCTTCTGATTTTACTACTGATTTTATCTAGACAAAAAACAAAAGCACTTAAAGGGGGGGAAAACTAAATAAAATCCAACATGGTCTTTATTATAAATGCTCATCCATTTAAAAATGGATCCAGGGTGGTGAACACACAATACAATACACAGATGACATATTATAGAATGTACACCTGAAACCTATATAATTTTATTAACCAATATCACCCAATAAATGCAATAAAAATAAATGAATGAAATAATAACAGATTCATACTGCCTTTATAGTTTTGAATTGTTTTTCATTGACTAGAACATTAGAATCAATTTTGCCACAGCACCTTCTTTTTTGCTATGAACTACATAGGTTTAAGATGTTACTGTTCAAAATGTATTGGTAAGAATTCTTAATCCTTTTTTTTTAAAAAAATCTCCAAAAGAAAAAACCCCTCAAAATTAACCCTAACCAGAGTGGCTCAGTTGGTTCAGCATCATCCTGTAGAGCGAAGGGTTGCTGGTTTGATTCCCGGTCAGGAACCGGCCAGGTTGCAGGCCAGTCCCCAGTTGACCTGTGTGCGGGAGGCAACCCATCAATGTTTCTCTCACATCGATGTTTTCCTCCCCCTCTCTTCCTCCCTCTCCCTATAAATAAATAAAATGTAAAAAAGAAAAAGAAAAAAGAAAAAAAACAAACAAACCCTCCAAACTCCTGGACATGTACAACAGTGTGATGACTGCAAGGGAGAGAGGAGTGAGTAGAAGTGGAAGAGAGTATGGACGGGTGGGGGGAGGGGATACAACAGAAATAAATGTTAAAATAAATAATGCCCTGGCTGGTGTGGCTCAATGGACTGAGCGCCGGCATGTGAACCAAGAGAAGTCAGAGGTTTGATTCTCCATTGGGGCACGTGCCTGGGTTGTACACCAAGTCCCCAGTTGGGAGCCAACGAGGGGCAACAGATTCGTGTCTCTCTCGCACAATGATGTTTCTCTCCCTCTCTTTCTCTCTCCCATCCTCTCTCTCTAAAAGTAAATCAATAAAACTTTAAAAAATAAAAATATAATCTCCAAAAAAAATTTTCACAGCTAAGCTTGATTTAAATTAAGCTCAGTTAAGCTTAATTTAAAAGTGCATACGGTGGTGCAGTTAACAAAGCATTCAACCAGCACTTCCATAACAAAGTTCTACAGTAAACTATATAGATTACAACTATGCTCCCAGTTTTATTTTTCCCTAGTTGTGGTTATGAGCTGTCAATTTTACTTGCACAGTTCATTACACTATTATTTTACCATCCTATTTGTCCCTCCCAATAGCCCCCTGGATAAGGTATACAAGAGAATTCTCATTTCCATTTCAAAGATGTGGAAAGCGAAGTGGTCCCCAAGCTAGTTGCCTGCATTGGTGTTTACCAAATTTCCCTTCACCCCCTTACACTATTTGCAGGGCAAAGCGAACTCTAACTAAAAAGACGCAATAGCCAGATTGCCCAAACTACAGCACCGACTTCTGTCAAAACGTTCGCCCCCAGGGTCCTTGTAAGATAATGGGTGAGCTGGCACTGCTGCGTTAAGATAGCATGGTGGGAGGGGATGCTGCGCCCATTTTCAGACAGGTCAGAAAACCCGTGTGCTGCAGGACCCGTGCGCGCCCACCCACAGCTCCCCGCGGACTCGGGCGGATCCCGCGCCAGCGGGCCCGCCGCGCCCGGGCTGGAGCCGGGAGCCCTCCCCCAGGGCTCCTCACGCCCGCGCTAGTGTCAGGACAGCGAGCGGACTACAAGGCAGGGATGCTGCGCACGGTCCTCGCACACTGCTGGAAAAAACACTACGATACACAGTGCAATCTCTTTTAGAGATCAATACAACTTTTCTTTAAAATTAAAAAAAAAGCTTCATTAAAAAGTCAAGCAAAATGTTCCATTTCTAAAGAGATTCCTAAGAGTTCACCTTTGCCCTCGGCTCCGCCGAACGTCCCTCAACCCCCATTCCCTCGCGCCCAGCCCAGCGTGACCTCCTGGCCCCGGAAACAGGAGCGACCGGCCCCGAGCGTGGGGTGCCGGTCGCGGCGGGGCACCAGAGCATTCAGCCTGCAATTCATTGCGATCATTTCTTATCGTGCAGTTCAGATGTATCAGGCTGCCCTGTCCCATTTTATACACACCTCAACCTAATTCTGATAACTCCATCAGGTGCTATACCCATTATTAGGGGAGAACTGGAGGACCCAGAAGGTACGCCGGCGGCCCAAGTTCACAGTTCACACAGCAACAAATGGCGGATGAAGGCCGCGAACCACGGCCTTCACCGTAACCAAACCCAACCTTAACACCGAAAATGCCGAGCCCTCCACTACAACCCCAACGGATGGTAAAACCGGCCGCGTGACCTTGGGCCAGTCGCGGAGCAGCGGCCCGCCCACGGCGAGCTCGAGCGCCTTCCTGCCTTCCACGCCCGGAGAATTTCCGACGGGATTCCTCCCCGCCTCAGAACAGGTGAACATGTTAAGACCGAAGTTTTTCAATCACGGCGCGTTCTAGCACATTCTGCATCCTCTTCAGGGTGCTAGATGCCAGGCAGTCCTCGCTTTGCGGTTCCCTTTTCAAATACCGAACCCGTAAGGCTAATCCTAAAAATTCCCTCGACCCGGTATCCCCTTTCCCCACTCCTAGGGCATCGACTAGGCCCGGTTCCACTCCAGGCCTTTACCCGGTTTACTGCGGTCCACCTCGCGGCTGCCCGAGCAGCCAGCAAGAGGCCTCAGAAAACTCGAGAAGCAAAGCCACAGGCAGCGCTGCCTTTTCCTGAGGTCAACGGAGCGAGGCTCTAGGGCACCTGCCACGCCTCCCGACCCCAGCGGCGCGGCCTGGGCTAGGCTCCCCACCCGGGGCAGTCCAGGGTCGGGCCTCGCCCCTCACGCCCCGCGCGTGGGCCAGCGCCTGACCCCTCGAAACCCAGCCTGACCCCCTTGGCTCCGGAGCCGTCCGACCCCGCGGCCGCGGCGCCATGCACCCAGGCCCCTGGGGTCCTCACAGGCCCGAAGAAAAACGCAGGCCTCCCCCGTCTCACCTCGAGCCTTCAGGGGACCGCCGGTGGCGCCCTGGCCTCCCCCCGCCCGCACACCTGGCGCCTCGTTGCAGGGGAGACAGCGGCTGATGAAGCCCGACCGTCACGTGCCACAGAACCAAGAGGCCTAGGCTACCGCTGCCGCCCCGCGAGCTATCGAGCGCCGCCGCACGAAGTCCGGCCCTGCCTCCGCCCCTTGCTCGTGAGTAGCTACGGCCAGCGTAACGTCCCGCCCCCCCACGCCAGTTCCAGAATGCGGTTGGTCAATGTGGTCATCGCTCTAATCACCTTCCCATACGCCCCCTAGGGCTATTCTTCGTGGAGCGTGGGGATTGGCTGGGAGTGAGGCAGGAAGTACTTGTTGGTTGGGCGGGAGCAGACGAGGCGGGCCGCAGCGGATAGGGAACCTCAGGCGCGCGCACCCTAGGGCGGGGCCGGCGCGGCCGGCGCCGCCGGCGCCTCAGCACTTTTTTGACCTAGTGCCTTAATGGGCGGGTTGCCGGGCGTTTCATCCCAGCTCCTGGGGTTTTGAGCCCCATGTTGAGCCTTGGATTTTGAACCCTGGCCGGAGACCCTGCATCCTGTTCCCTTCGTTGTGAGGGCAAATGGCAAGCGGTAGAAGGGGTGGGAGGTCCGGCGTGCCATTGCGAAGCGCCAGTTCCGCTGGCTGCGAATGCTGGTCCCGGACAGGACGCTAGCAGAACCGGTACGGGCTCGCTCCGCCGAGCCCGGAGTCGCCTGCGCAACGCTGTGTAACCACCCGTTACCGTTCGTGCAGAGTCGCCGCCCTGGGCCTGCGGCTGCGACTTTACCCAATGTAAACTAGAGGTCAAAATACTGTAATCCAAGGTTTCTTTAACTTTCATTTTGTAATGCATGCTGAAGTAAGGTTAGACAAAAG